AGCTTTGATCCTTACCTCAACTATGCACAAGCATTAACTCAAAATGTAACACAGACCTAAATATAACTAATGGTATAAAATTACTAAAAGAAAACAGGAGAAAATCTTTCTGACCTTCAGTTAGGCACAGATTTCCTAGACAGCACTCAATAAGCATAAACCATAAAAATAGAAATTGGGCTTTATAAAAATTGACAACTTTTGCCTTTCCAAAAATAAAAAAATAAAAAACTGTTAATAAAATGGAAAGGCCAGCCACAGACAGACTGGGAGAAAATATTTGCCAAACATCTATCTAAGCTTATATCCAGAATACATAAAGAAGACTCCAACTCAGTAATAAAAATAAAACCCAGCAAAATATGGGCAAAAGATTTGAAACAGACAATTCACCAAGGAAAGTATATGAATGGCTAATAAACACACGAAATGATACTCAACACGTTATTAGTCACAGGGCCAATATAAATCAAAATTGTAATGAGATTCCATTATACATCCACTAGAATGGCTAAATTATATAATTGTGTAACTTATAATGAAATGTGCAAAGATCTGGAGTTAGACAAACAAAAGGGAAGAACATGGCATTTCTCAAGCTGGAAGAACGGAAGGAAAAATTCAAGTCTTGAGTTACAGTATAGAAAGATTCTATGGGCAAACAATTGAATGATGCAGAAAACAGCAAAAGAAGATGGAAGGAATAAACAGTCACCATGCCAAAAAGAATTGGTTAATGTTCACCCATTTCAGGAGGTGGCATATGATCAAAAATCAATGATAGTGAAGGAATAAGTCAAAGCTGCACTGAAGGAATTGGCAAAGAACAAGACTCCAGGAATTGATGGAATACCCACTGGGAAGTTTCAGCAAACAAATGCCGCACTGGAGGCACTCACTTGTCAGGTGAAGACAAGTGAGGAAGACAGCTGAAGACAAGTGTGGAAGACAGCTACCTGACCAACTGACTTGAACAGACCCACATTTGTACCCATTCTAAAGAAAGGTAATCCCACAGAATGTGGAAATTATCAAACAATATCATTATTATGACAGGCAAGTAAAATCTCGCTGAAGATAATTCAAAAACAGTTGCAGGGCAGATCTTGGCTGAAAGCAAAGAATACCAGAAAGATGTTTACTTGTGTTTTATTGACTATGCAAAAGCATCCAATTGTGTGGATCATGACAAATTATGGATAACATTGAGAAGAATGGGAATTTCAGAACCTTTAATTGTGCTCATGTACATAGAACAGGAGGCTGTCATTCAGAAAGAACAAGGGGATACTGTGTAGTTTAAAATCAAGAATGGAGTGTGTCACAGTTTATCCTTCCATCATACTTATTCAACTTGTATGTTGAGCAAATAATCCAAGAAGCTGGACTATATGAAGAAGAGCGTGGCATCAGGATTGGAAGACGACTCATTAAAAACCCGCAATATGCAGATGACACAACTTTGTTTGCTGAAAGTGAGGATGACTTGAAGCACTTACTGATGAAGATGAAAGACTAGAGTCTGAAGTATGGATTACATCTCAACATAAAAAAAAAGAAAATCCTCACAACTGGACCAATAAGCAGCATCACGATAAATGGAGACTGAAGTTATCAAAGATTCCATATTACTTGGTTCCACAATCAACACCAATCAAAGCAGCAGTCAGGACATCAGATGACAAATCTGCACGGGGCAAATCTGCTGCAAAAGACCTGTTTAAAGTGCTGAAGAGCAAAAATGTCTCCTTGAAGACTAAGGTGTGCCTAACCCAAGTCAAGGTATTTTCAAAAACCTCATATGCCTGTGAAAGCTGGACAATGAATAAGGAAGACCAAAGAAGAGTTGATGCTTCTGAGTTGCGGTGTTGGCAAAGAATACTCAAAGAATCATGGACTACCAGAAGAACTAACAAATCTGTGCTGGAAGAAGTGCATCAGAATGCTCCTTGGAAGCAACGAGGGCCAGACTACGTCTCACCCACTTTGGTCATGTTGTCAGAAGGGACCATTTCCTGGAGAAGGATATCATGCTTGGTAAAGTGGAGGGTCAACAAAAAAGGGGAAGGCCCTCAACGAGATGAACTGACACAGTGGCTACAACAATGGGCTCAGGTGTAGCAAGGAGTGTGAGGCTGGCACAGGACCGGGCAGTGTTTTGTTCTGTTGTACACAGGCTTCCTATGAGTCAGAGCCGACTCAACGGCACCTAATAACAACAGAATGGCTAACATTAAAAAGATACATCCTACCAGAGTTGGTGAGGATATGGAGCAGCTGGGTATCTTTTAGCACCCAGCTTGCGGAAAATGCAAAATGGATCACTTTAGAAAACAATCTGACGGTTAATGAGTAATTATCATTTGTTGTTGTTAGGTGCTATCAAGTTGGCTCTGACTCACAGAGACCCTGTGTACAATAGTAGGAAACACTACCTGTTCTTGCCCCATTCTCACAGTCCTTGCTATACTTGAGCCCATCGTTTCAGTTCACTGTCAAGTCCATCTCGTTAAGGGCCTTTTTCACTGACCCTCTACTTTACCAAACATGGTATTTTTCTCCAGGGAATGGTCCCTTCTAACAACATAACTGAAGTAGGGAAACAAGTCTGGCCATTTTCTCTTCCAACGAGCATTCCAGCTGCACTTATTCCAAGACAAATTTGTTCTTCTGGCAGTCCATGGTGTTTTCAGTATTCTTCACCAATAACACAATTCAAAGGCATCAACTCTTCTTCAGTCTTTCATATTCATTGTTCAGCTATCACATACATATGTGGCAACTGAGAATACCATGGCTTGGGTTAGGTGTACCTTAGTCTTCAAAGTGACATCTCCGCTCTTCAACACTTTAAAGAAGTCCCTGCAGCAGATTTTCCCAGTGCAAGATGACATCTGATTTCTAGACTGTTGCTTCCATGGGTGTTGACTATGAAAACACGTCCATACAAAACTTGTGCTTGACTGCTAGTCAGGCAGAGACAAGTATTGATTTGGGTGAAGAGAAGAGCAATGTACGAAATGTGAGTGATCAACATGGTGGCATTCAGGAAGAGGAAGACATAGAGAGGTGCATGGGAGATACAGACAACAAAGAGAAGCCATTCTGCACATACAATACTGCTTTGTCAGTGATGGCAAACATTGATCTATGTATTGATAGATGGGTGGAAAGGCTGAACGATTAGGTATGTCTACATAGCGAAGAGTATGTCCATGACCATGTATATGGTTAGCAGACAATGATTACACAAATGCATTTGTATGTTCTGTAAGAATTTCTAGGTATATAGTAGAGCTGACAATAGATAAGATTATAGTCACTTCTTAGCCAAGCCAGCTACCCAGAGGGAACAAGTAGATGGACCTGTGGTCTCAGGACCATGAACTGATAGAGCCTGATGGAACCACTGAGACTATGACCCCTAGCTGTCTTTCAGGTCTGGAATTGAACCCACTCCTGTGGCTTCCAGCCAAACAAAAGACAGGCATACAAGGTGAACATTTACACTAGGTAGATATACTCCTTGGAGAGAACAATCATGGGAGAATAGATGGGCTGTGTATGCACAGGGAGACAGCTCAGGGGGCAGGAGTGCATGGAGGG